ACTTCTACAAATGCTGTGATTAAAGGCACATGCTTTGGAGCCTTGCTTATTTTGATTTGTTTGCTGGGGTTTGTTGTTGTTGCTTTGTGGCTTAGTAATCCAACCATTAGTTCTGTCCTCTAAAGATTATTTTGCAACATGCACCTGAATTCTTGTAGCAGCTTCTATATAGCAGCTTTCATAGGTCAAATATGCTTCCCAAAACACATGTGTCGGGAGCTCAGGCCACAGTACAGCGTTATTGGAAGGTTAAGGCTTAATGAGAATTGATAAGGTCATACACAAGTTAACACTATTGCTGGACTATTTTGGTTTTGTTTACATTTTTCCTTGGCCTCCATCTCATGCTTGCTTGCAACCCTGCCAGGATGTAGCATATCAAGAAAGGTCCCATAGATACAGCCCCTTGCCATTGGATTTTCCACCTTCAGAATCCTGACTTGAATATTATTTACACCATCTTCACTAGAAATTCCTGTCTGTGGCATTTTGTTATAGCAATAGGAAAAGGTATGGAAGGGACCAAGTGAGGGAGATTGAAAAAAGAAGGGAAGAACCTAACTATCCATATTTGGGGAATCAACTTTGTAAATGTATTCTATCCGTTCTTACAGTTTGAATTTGAAAAGTCTCTGAGAGACTCTGATTTGAACACTCACTCCACAGCTGGTATTTGAGAAGGTTCTAAAGGCTTTGGTGGCAGGAGTGGGGGTGGGAGACACATCAAACTCAAGGAGGTGGGTCATTAGGGTTGGGTCTTATGGGGTATGTTATCCCTAGCTGCTTTCTGTCTGCTATGATGTGAACAGGTCTTCCTCCACCTGCTCCTGCCTTCATGCTAGTCTGCAGATGAGTGGAAGCAAGAAATTAAGGACCTAGTCCTCCAAAATCTTGACCTAAATTAGATTTTTCCTACTTTAAGTCGTTATCTATTCTGACCACAGAATATCCAAAGTAATTAATACCAACATCTAATGCAGCAGTTTTCCATCTGTGGGTCACGACACTTTCATGGGGAGTCACGTAGCAGATATCCTGCATATTATATATTTACATTATGATTTATAACATTAACAAAATGAAGTAGCAATGAAATAATTTTATGGTTGGGGTGACCACAACTGTATTAAAAGAGTCACAAATATTAGGAAGGTTGAGAACCATTGAATTTCCAGCAATGAAAACAAAAAGTCAGAACAGTCAATCAGCAGGAAAAAAAATACAAAACAAAAAATATCTGAACAATTCTGACACACTACACCCAAGTCCACACACTGGAGTTAAGACTGAATGAAACACACACACAAAATTTTAAAAATCTGCCCTTGTGATAGTCTCATTCTAGTGATAATGGAACTGAAAGGTATACACACAGCGTTTTAGAAGGGGAATAAACTCTATGGAGAAAGAAGCAAAGAAAAAGAGGACATTTACATTGCAAAATAAGAAGTCAGTCAAGATCAAATATTGCCTGCAGACATTTGAACAAAGACTTAAGGGAGATGTGGGTTACAGAGAAAACCATATAGACATCCAGAGATGAACAATCCAAACAGAGGAAGCTGAAGTGTAAAGATGGCCACTGATACGCTCAAGGAAAGCCAGGAGCCTAGGAGAAAGAGGAAGAACTAGGAAAAGGGTAAACAAGAGATCAGAGGGATCTTGTAATTATTGCAAGGATTTGGGCTTTGGCAACATCTGAACTGGAAAGCCACCAGAGTGTTTGGAGCAGAAAAGGGTCATGATGGGAAGAGTAGGTTTTACTAAAATTTTTATTTTAGAGGCTGTAGAGATGGTTCAGTGGTTAGCTCTTCCAAAGAACCCATATTTGATTTGATTCCCAGTTCTGATATGATGGCTTACAACCATCTATAACGGCAGTTCCAGGGAATCTGACACCCTCTTCAGGTTTCCATAAGTACCAGGCACACCCATGGTATACCTATATACATATATGTAAAATTTTTAATTTTATTATTTATTTATGCATGTGTATTTGTGCACATACATGGACATACCCACAGAAGCCAAAAGAGGACATAAGAGTTCCCTAGAGTTAGAGTTAGACTTGGTTTGGTTGTGAGCTGCCTAGCATGGGTGCTGGGAACTGAACCCAGGTCCTCTGGACGAGCAGCAAGCACTATTAACTGCTGAGCCACCTCTCCCGTCCCCTCACATATATTTTAAAAGGAAAATCTTTTTCTTTTCTTTTCTCTTTCTTTCTTCCTTTCTTCCTTCCTTTCTTTCTTTTTGAGAATAGACTGAAGAGAACAAAGGCTACAAAAGGATTAATAAAAGGGTCCCTGCAGTTAACACTGAGACCAACTGGTGAGGATGACATCATCAGAGACCTGACAGTTCCATAGACCTGGGCGGAGTGTTCAGAACTGAAGTGCCATAGGAATGGGCTTAGGAAAGAAAGGTAAAAACATAGATAATATAAACAGCTCTTCCGAAGTATTTTGGAGAATTTTGTTTTAGAGGGAAGAGAAGAAACTAACGATATCATAGACATAATATATAGCCTAATAATCTACAAAAGGATACACTCAACATTCATATAAGTTTTCCTTGAAAATAGGCAAAACTAGGCTTGCGGTAAGAAAGAAGCAAGTCACAAGCCTGGGCATTATCAGGTTATCCTCGGATAATGAGTAGAGAGGTATTTGTCTTATAATTACCCATCGCAATGATTTGCTATGTCGTTTATCAGCCAACAAAATCATTTTAGGCATTTCTCTCTCTATTTGCCACAGCTCAAATGCTAAAGACCAAGGTCACATGACAACAGACATACCACTGCTGCTCTCTAAAAACCACCTAGAAGAGCTGGACGCTGCTCGCTCAGTAGAGTGCTTGCTAGGAAGCCCTGGGTTTGATTCCCAGCACCCCATGAACAGGGTGTTCCATATCTGTAATCCCAGCACCCGGGCAGTACAGGCAGAAGTTCAAGATCATCCTCAGCTTCAAGGTGAGTTTAAGGCCAGTCTGGGCGATATATTGTTTGTTTGTTTGGGGTGTGTGTGCAAGCGCGCTCGTGTGTGTGTGTGTGTGTGTGTGTGTGTGTGTGTGTGTGTGTGTGTGTGTTTCTGTGGTTGAGAAGAAATATTTTAAACCATAAACAGATCAGATTTAAATAAAAACTCCCAAAACCTGTATGTGTGAAGTCTGGCCAGTAGGTGAGCATTTGCACTTTCCTAATTTAATTAAAATTGGAATTTGTAAATCACATACAATCTTAAGAATTTGAACCGAGCATAAGCTTTTTCTTCATTTTTAACTCCGCAGGACATATTTTTTAGTATGAATGTTTGCCTCTAAGTATTAAAAAAATGCAATATGGTATCTGCCAAGAGAATTCATTTATTTTGGCTTTTTTTTTTCTGGATATGTTTAGGTCTTATTTCCAAGACCTCCCACTTGACAAACACAAACCATTTGGTCCTATATTAGTGATCTAAGTGTGAAGCAATGGCTGGGTTTTTTTTTCCTCAATAAATTCATGGGAGAATAAAGCCTCACATTGCAAAAGAAGAAAGGGGGCCCCTGCCAAGCATCACAGCTCCCTGAGCTGTGAATGAACTGGCCTGGGTATGAGCAGCAGATGGTTGCTATGTTCCAGTTGTTTCACAGACGAGCACCAGCAGGGCATCTGAGTTCTAAGATTCCCTGGCTCACCAGCATGGAATTCACTTCCCTCTGCTCACATTTCAGAGGGGCAAGCCTCTGCTTCAGGAGGGTCTACGGGGAAGACAAATGTCTGGCTAGCCAATGACCTTTCCAGTCTAAAGGCAGCAAAAGAGCTGAAAATCAGTTAAAATGTGCTCACAGAGGAGCACTTCAAACCCATTCTGCTCTCCCAGATTGCACACAAAGCATTTGTGGGTGGTAAAGGATGATTTCATTTTAGACCATGCCCAACAAAAAGAGCTGGGAAATGCTTCTCTGTCTATCCTAACTGGCAATGTTGAACTCTCAAGTTTTCAAACCAGTAACAGGAAAATATTGTATGTCGTGATGAAAGCGACTGTCTCATTCTCTACCTGCATAAGTGAGTCGAGATGTTTGGTTTTTTAGCAAAAGTGAAGGTAAAAGTAATGGCATTGATACTTTATAGTATAAGTGTGTGCGTGTGCGTGTGCGTGTGCGTGTGTGTTTCTAATTTCTGGTTGATCTACTTAGTTAACCTCGGCTATTTTCTGGGATCCATTTCAAGACTGTGAAACCCATCACTGAACTTGGCATCTCTGTGACGGGGGTTCGTTTCTGAGGCACTCTGAAGTGGTCTGAAAAACACTTTTTATGCATTCTGCACACAGCTTTATGCTAAAAGGCCAGGAGCACCACTCAGTAATTGATGGGAAAGTTACAATTTTTGGTATTTTTTCCCTCCAAATATGCAATACAAAAAAAAAGTACCATGTTAAAGCTACACATTTAGGTATTTCTCTTTCTTCTTTCTTTTTATTTCTTTTGTTTTTCAATGTTGGAGACACTGGCTTAAAGGTACTTTGAGTCTTTAAGTTAGTGCCAGGGGACTTATTCAGGTATAGGCTATATATTTCCAAGTTCTTTACAAATACTTTGTTTTCTCTACAGCTCTTAACTGAAAAGTCCTGAAAACATAGATGATAAGTGCACATAAGAACCCCAACCGCAAGACCATGAAATTAGCAAGACTGACAATTATAGGAGTCTACATTTTTAAATATGGAGTACACCTGAGCTATTATTAAGAATACATCAGAAAAGATATTAATCCAACCCTCGAACTATAATAGATGAAGAAACCCACGGAGGTTAGTTTAAGCACAAACCACTAGAGATAAATGTGAATCCACAGCAGAACTCAGGTGCTGTATCTTCAGGTCCGGAGCCCTGGCGGTGCGTTGCCTTGATACATACACACAGACCCCCGGGTCCCTCAGAAGAACTCTCTCTCTCCGTTCACAAGTATGTCTCTCCCCCAATACCCAGTTTCTTAGATGGCGTCAACATACCTGAGTTTGCAGCAGGATTCCTCGGTCCGATCTGTTTTTTTCCTCACTGCTACAAATCCTTTTAAAGGAGTGCTTCGGTTGGGGCTTGGCTTGGGGCTTTGGTTGGCTGGCCGGCTGGCTTTTCTATTTGTTTTGTTTTTAATTTGCTCGGGGAAAGGGAAGAGGGTGGGAAACTAAACCCGCCCCACAACACATTTTTTTTCCTGTGTCTTTCAAACCAACCCAACCCACCCTCTCTCGGCCCGCGGAGCTTAAGGGGTTGCTGTCGCAGTCCCAGGCAGTTTCCAAAGTGGCAGGAGGCCTGGAGAAGTTACACGGCCCTCCGCAGGTGCTGCCCAAGTCAACAGCCCTGGTCCCCAGACCTGCTGCGTCCTGCTGCGCAGCCCTGGGCGGCCCCGTGCCAGGGGTTCAGGACGGAAAGGGGGTCCCGCCTGTGTCGCGGGGAGATGAGAAGCAGGGAATGCTTGGGTTCTGTGTCGCCGGATCTGGAGGTGCTGGTCACTAGCGCGCGGGCGCGCCGCTGTGGGGCACTGGCCACACAGGTGACCGCGCGACAACGGGGACGCTGCGCGCGTGGCCGAGGCAGGCGCTTGGATGAACCTTTGGGCTGCTCCTGGTCTCCCTGGCCTCTACAGCAGCAGGTGTGGGAAATGCTGCACTAATAAACGCAAGGACTGGGAGTAGTGGGAAAGGGAACCAGAAGAGACCCCAAAGAGGGAAGTCGTAAGCTCCCTGTCCTTCAAAGTACATCAGTCATCACCTCTTCCTTGCTTGTCCCAAAAGGAAGGAGGGTCATTCCTTAATCTAGCTGGCTAATGATCCCCTCGGTTTCCATCCTGGACAATGACAATGATGCAGCAAGTTGGAAAAAAAAAAAAATCTGTCGTTATGGAGAGTCAGATTCCAATCTCAAACTACATAAATATTTTGTTGTTCTCTGATCAAAATGTGTATTCATTTATCTGTTTACTTCCTTAATGAATGTTTATTGAGAACATGGGCTACATTACTTTCTTTGAACTTGGGGGAGGAGGACATACGCGTTCATAAAATTTCCAATTTTACAGCTGATCTGAAGACAAACAGAGTGAAGATGAAAGAATAAATTTAAGTGGAGATACTTCAGATTGGGTAGATAGCTATACACAAAGAGCTTTCAAGGTTAATTTAACCCGCATGCCCCCCAAGGAAGGCCATCAAAAGTGGGCACAGCGAGTGTGTTGCCTGAATTAACCCAGCCACAACAGGGTTGAGATGAATTCATCCTTCATTATTGGGATGGGTCTTCACTCCAAAGGCAAGTGTCCTAATGATAAAAGGAGAGGACGGCACCGGTATGAAGAAGGCAACCTAAACCAAAGGCAGACACTGGAATTGTGTGGCCAGCTCCTGCTCCAATGGATGACCCATTACGGAAGTGGTCACCTGTGGGATCTGTAATACATGTCCTCCCCATAGACACGTTCTTTCAGGACCAGCGACACATTTCTGACAAGCACATGGCCCTGCGGACCATATGTTGAAGCCGTTTTATTCAGAAATAGCACACGTACTTATTAAATAGTCTTCATGGACATCTGAGGTAGTCAGCGTCAGCCTAGGAAAGCTTACCTTCGGTTCTCACCAAACTGTGGCAAAAAAGCAAACAGACGAATGTTAGATAGAGGATAAAACTGAAGTGGAGATTTTGGTGTCTCCAAATTATTATTATTCTAACAACACAAACAAAAACCTTAACAGAGTAATTAAATAATCAGTTTAGCACATTCATTTCCTATGGTTGCTATAACAAATTACTACAAATGCAATGCTTAAAACAGTCGAGATTTATTCTTTCTGCTTGGGACCTCAACAGGTCTGTAGTCTCCCTCTCCCCTTCTTGGGTCACCCAGGGGACACTCCAGCCTGCCTCTTCCTCCCCTAGATCTCAGGCATTCTTTGTTTGTGGCCACGTAATTCCAGCGTCTGCCTTTGTCTTACACTGGCTTCTTTGCTCATGTGTCTACTGTTTCTATTGTAAGGTCAACTGCCTTTGGGGGTGAGGACCCCTCCCAATCCCGAAGGGCGATTTCATCTCAACTTCCTTAACTTAATGATGTCTACAAAACTTGCCTTTTTTCAAATATGGTCATATTCATCGATTCTAGGGATTAGGCCATGGACATTTATTGAGAGGAGAGCCACTGATGAACCCGTCACAGCAACTACTCCTGAGTGTACACCCAAAGGGATCTAAGTCAGCAGAGCACAGAGACACTTGCACACCCATGCTAACAGATGCACTATTCACACTAGTTAAGAAATGGAGTGATTCTAAATGTCCATCAAGAAAGAGCCGAGGCAGGGTGTGCCTCAGTTGGTCAAGCATGGCCATGCAAGCATAAGGATCTGAGTTTGATCCTCAAAATCCATGTGAAAATGGCAGGTACTGGAATCTGTAATCCCAGAATTGGGGAAACCCAGACAGGAGCACCTCTGAGGCTCCATGGCCTGTCTACCCTAACTGGTTAGCTTTAGATCAATAGAAATCCTGTCTCAAAAGGGATGAACAGTGTCCTGAAGATGACTTCTAAGACTAAGATTGTCCTAAACACACACACACACACACACACACACACACACACACACACAGTAAAATTTAAAAAAAAAAAACAGATGACAAATGAAAAAAGAAAGCAGTTTGTATAAAAAAATGGTTTATTCGGTCATAAAGAAAACTAAGGTCATGATTATCCAGGAAAATACATATAATAGGAGATCACTATGTTAAGCAAAATAAACTATATTCAGAAAGCCAAGCATGAGAGAGAAAGAGAGATGTTAAAGTAGAAAAGAACTAATATAGGAGAGGAGGGAGGAGGAAAGAAACAGAAAACAGGCGACATGTGGCAAAGGGGGAGTTAAAGACTGGAAAGGGGGCAGGGAGGGTAGGGCAATGGTGGAGGGGAGTATGGTGGAGCGGGGAGTATGGTGGAGGGGGTGAATGGAAGCAAGGCAAAATGGCTCATGAGTATTATATGCCATACAGAAACCTGTTGCTTCACATGTTAACTTCAAGAAAAAAAATTAAAAACTTTGGCATTATGAAAAATAACTACCCTAGAAAAAATACAGAGGTTCAAAGTCTCCATTCCGTTGGAGTCCCATGCATTGCTTGAAGCTAATCACAACCCACTGCAAGCCCCCAGTACCGCTGAAGTGGATCCCACCTAGATATGTCTGTATTTCCGCACCATGTCGTAGCACTGAATGCCCACCACACCCCTAGCTTTACATCTAATTAACTGGACACCTTTGAATCTCCGCCTTGCTGGCACAAGGATTCATTATTTATCTCAGGCATGGTAAAGAGCTGTGAAGGAATAAATGGGTTAGAAAAGAATCACAGCCAGTCGGTTAAGTGTCATCCCTACACTGAAGAACATCTCTATCGGGAGATGGAGTTTACCAGAGCAAAACGGATTAACACCCTGGCTCACTCCATATTTCTTGGAGGGGAGGGGGAAAATCCATAAAAGGAAACCTAGTGTAAAAAATAAATGAATGTGTTTCACCTTTTTTCTCTTTTGAAAAAAAATCAATAGACTGCACATTTACACAGATGCAAACCCCACTGGGAATGATCAATCAAGGCTGAGCTTACCGCTACAGAAACTGGGTGAAACATCTTATCCAACTATTTTGGTTGTTAGTGTCAGAGCGTAGACACTGCCTGATTATCGCCTCGGAAATCTTGACGCAGCCCTTCATGAACCCCTGAACTTCTGTGACCGACTCTCTTCTGGACCACCTCTTCCCTCCTCAGCTTTTCTTCTCATTCTTCACTCTTTGCATCTGAACCCTCAACTAACAGGGATGCAACTGCTATGCACTGGGTGACTTACGGGAGTCACAGACTCATCCAGCAACCAACTTTGTGGTCAGTGAATTGGGCTGTAACCAAATCCAGAATGAGTCTCCCGTTACACACACACACACACACACACACACACGCACGTGACTGAACTTTATGAAATGAGTACATGACCACATAGATCTAGCAACAAAAGAATACAGTAGTCCTTGAGAACTTGAAGGATGTTGCAGTTTGGTTTTTTAAAAGAAATTCACTAATACAATCAATAATGACAAATATTCAATCAAAATCTTAGATGACAGTAAAGGCCCTCATGTATTTGATTATACTGAACTGCATTTGCTGGGTAAGTGATGAAACTATCTCATTAAATAATGGACTCTAAGGCCCAAGTAAACACGAGCAAAGAAAACCTTTTACATAAAGGTGTTTTGAGTTAGGGTCACATGACATGCCAGTAGCTGATAACCGGCAGACCCACTTGAGTAAATAGCAGCGAGTCCCTCTGCTGAACCAGGAATTCGTTTAAAATGGGGAGGTTCCAAGCAGATAATACAAAACTGATAGCATTGGAGCCTAAGATCCATTTTCCGTATTAAATACAAACAGTGCCTCTAGAACTCACTCAGTTCTCAGCAGGCTTTAGCAAGGTATTCTAAACAAAGTAGCCAACGATCAATGAAAGGAAAATAAAGCTTCAGAAGGGAAAGTGAAGAATAAGAAAACTCCAAGTTCTAACAGAATTGTTAAACAGGGTAATATTAACAAATCGAGTAGAGCTAGCTTACAGGCTGGCGACGATTTCTTTAAGTTGATGGTATTCAAAAGCTGTTCTAGCAAGGTGTGGTCTGTAGGCTCAGAATGAATCAGATCCTCTGATGCTCATTATGTATTATAATATATGTTATATACCATAA